GAAACAAATACTTTAATTTGTCTTTTAATGATAATACAACACGTTTTCTTTTCGATGACATATCGGTAATATTAAAAGTAAATATTGTATTTAAATCGTGATCAAATTTTCAAGAAACAAACGTTCGTGTTGAATTTGGACTACTACTGACCAATGCTAACAGACTACCTATTGTTTAAAAGGCCCTCTGGTGGTGCAAGAAGACGGATTTTATAAAATAAAAAGCAGTTAAAACTACATTTTTATGAAAAAATTTGACAAACTATCGTTTTATGACAAGTAAAATTTTTTCGTCGCGTTCACGGCTTTTAATTAATGCATAAACCTTCGAGGCGCGAGGCCCTTCGGACTGCGAGGCATAGGCGGTGGCCCATGTCGTCCATGCCTTATGCCACCCTTGGTAATAGAAATTATGTAATTTGAATATAAATTATTTATAAATACGTATGTCAAGTTATATTTTTATTACCGCGTAAAATATATTTATGAGTTTACGACCACTGTGCTGAGTGAGACGTTGTTGAAACAAAAAATGTTATGCATTCCATCAAGTACATAAACAGTGTCGTAATTCGCCAAGTGCAAATCAGCAAATTCATAAAATTTTTGTTTATTTTGAACAATCCGGATAATCGAAAATCCAGATAATGGAGGTCCGGATAATGGAGGTTCTACTGTATTTGTTTTGATTATCCGGATTTTTCCTTATCCGGACTACCTTCATCCCCAATTAGTCCGGATAATCGAGGTTCTACTGTATTTTAATATGATTTTATGTGCGTTTAACACTTTTCTAGTGATATTACAATTTCAATATTTGTGGCAGACAGATGTAAAGTCAAATAAAATGAGTTAAACTTGATTTTTATTTTTCCATATATTTTTTTGACAAACGACGTATAATCGAGAACGACATAACTCGAGGTATATCTGTAGTAGAACATACATTGATCTTAGTTGATTTTGTCCACTATTACCTTTATATATTTTCAAATTTAATTCTTCCAATCCTTAAATTACTTATTAGCTTAAACTCAGTAAAAATCTAGGAACATTTAATATATTTAGTTTACCAAAGATCCAAATCTGAAACTTTATATCAAAATTTTTAATATTTTAATTGGGTATCCTTAAATAGCTATTGATATTTTCTTATAATCTTTATTTTGCACAGCATATAAATAGTTTTCTTTATTATACATACATTACATTAATAAAATAAAAAAAATAATAAATTAAAAATAAATATTTTATTAAAATATATAAATACAGTTGAGCATCAATTATCCGAATGTTGATCAACTGAAACATCAATTAACTGAAAGCTTTCCAGTAGGCAAATTTAAATTTCTGCTAGTGCTGTGGCACTGCAATCTTTGGCTATATCTTGGGTTACTCCAATATTATTTTTGTTGGTGTGCATGTTTTAGTTGTCAGCACTGGTGCAACCGTGAGAGGGTACTTAAGGACATGCCAGGATTTTAACGAATTTCAACATGGGATAGGTTAATATATTTTTTCACACATAATCGGTTATCCTAAAAATTGATTTTCCGAACAACCCCAGTCCCCAACTGATTCGAATAATCAATGCTCTACTGTAGTTATAAATTAAAACATCCATCAACAATCAAGAAACAGATATCTTCATTATTTTTTAACACCATTTTAAATCATTTAATAAAAAAATATTGCATTAATAAATGCAAATAAACAGGCTATTAAAATAATTTATGAGAATTACTTAAGAATATGGATAAATATGGATGATATTTTTATATAAATATCATCCATGGGGTTGTTTTATATATATATATAAAGATGATGATGATGAAAAGTTTGAGCAATTAAGTGCTTTATTTTTCTTATCTTTTTTAATTGAAAAACTTTTCTGTAGAATATTCTAGTAATAATGAGTGATTAACTGAATATCTTCAAACATACAAAGTGGAGTCATAAAATGAGAAAAGATGCTCTAGAATTTTCTTCATATTATTCACTTTTAATTAAAATATATATACCTTTCACTTGATTTCCTGTATTGCACAAATGATAAATGAAACAAATTGAACTGTAAGACAATCTAATAATTTTGTTTTGCAATTTAGTAATTTTTAAAATAAGTTTTTCTATGAATCTTTAGAATTATAAGACAACATACTTGTTTTCCATATTTATCCTGCCATTCATAGAGTTCTAAATCATTTCGTACAACAGATAATCTTCCAGGACTTCTTGAAAATCTTGTATGAGACACTACTTCTTCACCAAGTCCCCCTTCTCTATCACCTGGAATGTCTGAATCATCGGAACTATCTTCCTAATTAAAATAAAGAAAAACTTACAAAATAAACAACAAAATTTTTACAGAACAGTTCACAAAAATATACAAGAACAGATTAAAAATTTATTTGAATTAAATCATAAAGCATAAAATTGTAAAAAATATTTGAATTGAAATTTAAATTCAAAAAATTATTTTGTTCACAAATTATAAACATTGATTCATAAATTATTTCAATAAAATAAAAATTGCTGTTATCAACAAAATTGATACATTATAATAATAAAGCCAACCATTGCCATATGCCATTGGGCTATATTGTTTGGTAATTTATTAGTAATATAGCAATTATATAGCCCAATGGCATACAGCAGTGGTTGGCTTTATTATTAAAATGCTGTTATCAGTCTTGTCACATTATTATTAATAGACTGCACATGTTTTATATTTGACGTTAAAATTAATATCTAAAATTGTCTTTGTAATATTCAGCAATGGCCTTTTTATATTTTATTTTAAAATAGAATATTAACATAAATATCTTCAGTTATCTGTATATTAAAGAGCAATTTCTCCTTGCTTACTCCTCCATTTCTTCAAATCAATGCATCAGTTTGAGCTTGAGTTTCCTGATGTTGCTCAAATTAGTTATCCTAGTTTACTTTCACCAAAAACAGTTTTCTCACCTCTATCGCATCTTTCTGCATGATGAAACTACTTACTTCCAAAACATCCTTCATACTATATATACATTGTCATGAACAGCACTAGGTATGTAGAATTGTGAGTTTGATAAGCCTGCAACCTTCCAATGTTAAATCTTCAATCAATAATTGCTACTTTGCATGGAATGAGAAAGGCAAGTTCATGTTTAAACTTGACTGTTATAAAATGATGCAATACATTAACTAAGAGTGTAAACTCACACAGATTAGATACTTGTGACTATTAAATGATGGTGATCACATGTTTATCTCTGCACTTCACTGAACACTACAGTAAAAGATTTTATTAATCAACTAACTCTCATATTTAATAAAAAAGCATGGTTTTTTTAAATTAGTATCATGACAACATTTTAAAGTCTTTAGATATAATCTTGAATAAAATTCAATTTCTCCAGGCTTAAGTTTACAAATATGCATGAACTTCATGTCAAATGATTTAAGTTTCTAAAGTGTTTGTTATTTATAACTGTTACAATAAATTGATCAAGCTGCACAGCAGTATCAAAATAATAAAATAATTTTCACAACATAACGAAAATATATAAAATTTAATAGCATAGACAAAAAAAATATAAAGTTAATTATTATTATTAATTGTTGTTATATGCATTTTTACCTGAGAATTTCTGGAATGTTTTGAATGACCATTATTTACAATCACAGCGGTAGACCACCTTTTGTTTACATCACTGCAGTTATTAGCTGGATAAGTAAGAGTGGGTTCACTTCCTCTACGAACATGTAGAGGAACCAGACCTAAAATGCATATTTAAAATATGATAAAATATAAAACAGTTTAAACAAATACTATCATCAAATTTATTGTTATTAATGAATATTTAAATGACAAAACATAACAAGGATATAAATTATATATTTGTTGTCATTTTAGGAAAATATTTTAATCAAAATACTTTAATATCAAATACTTATGCATTATTCTATAAAGTATGAATACAAAAACTCTTTTTTTTTCATTATTCATTTCTCTTTCAATTCAATGAAGATTTTATATTCAAAATATGAAATTCTCATTTTCTCATTCATTATTTATATAAATAAATTATTTAAACATTTTCCGAACAACCCCAGTCCCCAACTGATTCGAATAATCAATGCTCTACTGTAGTTATAAATTAAAACATCCATCAACAATCAAGAAACAGATATCTTCATTATTTTTTAACACCATTTTAAATCATTTAATAAAAAAATATTGCAAAAATACANTTATGGATTTTAGGAAATTATTTAAAATTTTAATGCTAATTGAAAAACAATTACTTAATTTAAGCTAAAAAAGTAACTCAAATTTGATATCATTTTTTTATAAGTACTTAGACTCAAAAAGGGTCTCCCTCCGCTTAAAATCAAATACTTTTGAATATTTGGAAATTTAGATACCAAAGGTATACTCAATTATTAGAAAATATATTATTCTACTATTACTAAATTGTTTTTAAAATATTTTTATTCTATTTGATTTAGAGTTTCATAAATATTTTTAACTTTTTTACATTTAGAAGTGGATGAATAGCCTCAAATAAAAGGTCAACTCTGCTGTAGAATTGTTATTTCCTCAAGTACATTTGAAAGGATTAAGTGAAAAGACACATCATGTGTGTATTGTCTCCTCAAGAATTTTCTTAAAAGTTTTTGTATATTTCTAAATATTTTATTTAAAAATTTTGAAAAATAATAATTTATAAAACTGCAATTAATTTGATAAATGTTTATTAAAAATTCTCCTCTTTTCATTCCAATAATTTTTTTATTTTAAATTTTGTTAAAAATTATGTACTAAAAATTGCTTATTTATTTGAGAACTTAAGTAAAAATTAATTTCAAACAACTTTAATATTTGTATTATTGTTCCAAGCAATGATCAGGAATAAAACTGTATATTTAATAAATAATAATATGTTGATAAAGTATATCCTACATGGCTTATATACTGGCACCCCAATGTTATGTTGGATCAAGATCAAGGTGTAGCTACAGAAAACAATTGTTGTTTTATTTGTGGTGTTCATGTATGTATCTGGATTTAAGAATTTCTTAACTATGTGCAACCCTGTGGAGAGACAACATAAACCATGGAAAAATTCTGGGCTTATTAACCGCTCTCTAACCACATTTTTTACATCTGCCTTGCCCCAACCAGATCCAATCTGCCTCAAATAAAAAGATTGGCAGATGCCAATCTTTGAGGCAGATTTTTCCATGTTGCCTCCTCTACACACCCATAGTGAAATGTCCTTACAAAGAAACAGAGAAATTTACTTAAAAAATGGACTCTAGGGCCCCTTATTAGGGTCTGAGCTCCATGGCTACAGCAATGTTTCCGTTTTTTGTCAGGGCTATGTGACATGTGTTTAGTATGGCATCTTTCTGAAATTTAATGTATATGCTGTTGTAAAGCTCTAATGTTTCAAGACTTTTGTGTAAAGTATGTGCACAAAATGACACATGACACAAAGTATGACACATGTGCAAGGAAGGACTACTGGCATAAGTATTTATTCATTCTCCACATTGCTTTATTTCATGGACAAGATCTGAGTAAATAAAAAATATATACACTAAAAAATTAGTATGTTCTGGGTGTTTGGTATAGTTATATTTATGACGTATGTTATTATGTTTTGTTTGTCAGTGAATGTGATGACTGGTTTGTTGTAATTATGACTTGGTCATAATATATTTTGCACATTTTAGAAAAATGTATTTGTAGTATGTATAATAATTTGTATGTTTGTGCACAAGATTTTAATGCAATATATTTGCTGTTTGGTGATATCAATGTGAATAGTATAATCACAATATTAATAAGGAAGAAGTCTACAAATATTCAGGATTCCACCTCACAAACCAAACTCACAAAACATACACAAATCAATTAGTGAATCAATCAATATGCAGAACCAATCAAGCCAATAAAAGAATACAACAGCAGATTAAACTGAATACTAATAATACAGCTGAAAGCAAAATACACAGGGAAAGCAAGACTGTCTCAATATGTCAACTGGACAAGTCTAATTATTTATTGGACATAAACAGAACTAGAACATCCAATGGAATACATGAACAGAATTAACAAAACAACAAACACCGCCCTAATTCCTCTATAAAAAGGCTGACTCTTTCTTGAAGAGGAAGACAAAACTTCACAGATATGGTATAACTTTAATATGAACAAATACAGATACTAAGAATTTTTCTACAAAAACAAGAAACACCACAGTTACACAAAGCAGTAACACTTGCAGACAAAAACAGTATACCATTAAACCCACACAACATTGATCTGAGTCTAACATGGTACACAAGAGAGACACATCATCAGATAGTTTTGGGTTCAAGAGGAATGCCACAGCAGACACCTTAACAATCTCAGCCAGGATCCCATTGACAGAACTGCATAAAACTGCTGGATGTTGCATAGATAACTCTTTGGAGAGACAAAAGTATTCATGATCACCATAAATACAAGAAACTAAAGGAAGTACATTTTTAAAAAGACAACACTTATAAAAGACATTTGTAGGAAATACCATATCATGCACAAAACTAAACAACATATCACATCAGGGTGCAAGCTTTTAGCAAAAACAGACTATTTACATTGACCTATCAATAGATAGCAAATGTAATACAACTAAAGCTTGCACAAACACATACAACACAGTTCTAGACAAACACAATCATAATTATAATTGCAGACAAAACAGTCCATCACAACAAACTGAACTTAACATTCACTGACAAAACAAAATCATATACATACATATAAAATACATACAACTGAAAAAACTAGCAACTACTCAGAACTAAAGTGCCTTTGAAGAATTAATAAAGTACTTATGCCAATTATCCTTTCTTACACAAGTTCATACCATATAAGGCTAAAAACATTAGGTCTTTAGAACAGGACATAAATTATACTACAAAAAACTGCCAAACTAAACACATGTAACATAGTCAAGAAATTCATAAACACAGATAAACAGACAACACAAACTAAACAACAATTTTTTTTGTCTGTAGCTATGCCTTGACCTTGGTCCAGCATAGTGTTAGGTACCATTATATAAGCCATGTAGGATACATTCCACAAATACATTATTATTAATAAATACAAAATGTGATTTAAAATGTACAATAAGACTGGAAGAATTTAAAATATTTATTAAATTATAAACACAACTAAATGAAATATTTAATTCCAAAAATATTTTTAATTTCTAAAAGCAATATTTACAAAATCTGCTCTTAGCTTATCAGAGATAATAAACTAAAAAAAATTTATTTCTCAAAAAAATTACTACACAACTACATTCTTTTTTTTTGTAAATTTTTATATTCAGAAACATAATTATTGAAACTTCAGAAAGCATTAAATGATAACTGTCATTATATCAAGTTGAAATCTTAAGTTTTACGAAAATCTAAAAACATGTTTCAAAATTTAAAATATACTATTGTTTGTCACAATATTTCAGTACTGGTAACAGAAAAACTGGATTAATATTAATAATGTAACAATTCTAAAAATAATAAAATGATTTGATGATAATTAAATCTTTAAACAAAAATTATTCAATTTTGTGTATGAAAGTAATTTCAACAAAAAGTTTTTTAGATCCAAAATATATTTCTAATTATAATTATGATTAACAGTAATTATGATATCATATCACATTTTTATTAAAGCTAATTGAAATGATAAGTGTTTTGAAATTAACAATTTCTAAAAATAAAATCTATTAGTTCATCAAATGTTATCAATTAAGTGAAAGTTATGAAATCCATGCTGAAATATCTTAGAAGTTCAGTAAACTTTAAATGTCATCTATACTAATATTTTTGTTTTATTCTGCAAATAACATTAGTCTATTTGTAGAAGTTTTACATTCCAATTTTAAACATCTCTAGAAATGTTGTTCAACACAAGTACAGAAAGTTTAAAATGTGTTATAAAACAACTCATTCATGTAATTGTAAAACTAAAAATATTCTGATTTGTTAAAAATTCATATTTTAAAAAGTAACATTTAAGTTTTAGTGCCTTATGATAGATGCTTTCTTCCGTTACCTGGCAAATATAACCACCATCTTAATTCTAACAAATTCCAAATAATAATTAAAAATACATATTAATTAATTAATTAAAACACAATTAATTTTTAAGCAGTTGGACATAATTCCCATAAATTCCATTTTAGATTTTTATTGTTGTTACATTTATATATCAGTGGTAAAAAATAAATGTCCTAAAAAATTACCTATATTATCTATAAAATGTTAAATTCATTGTAAATTGTAAAATATAAATGCTTAATAAAGCAGAATTTTATTAACTCCCTGAGTGAATAGACTTAATCTCATAAATCCCTAAGTGTATTTAAATACCGTGTTTACCGTAAAAAACTCTTCTAATCATGATATAATCATATACTACTATATATTAAAAAATATTAATCTCAGGTAATAAAATAATATAAAAAGTTTATTTTGAATATAAATATCTCTATATATATAAAACACTCTAAGTACAGTTTTAACACCACATAAAAATTCAAACATTCAATTATTATATTTTTATGATGACATTATTAAAGGAAATTGTATTTCCTGTGTTTATAAAATATCCAAAAACTTATTGAAATATTTGTCAGAGATTCGAGTCACTGAATTTTTTTTTTAAATTTCACAAATTTAAATAAATAAAATTATATATTTCTATAAATTTG